AACTAAAACTAAAAAACACTCCCCAAAACTAGCATACTTCCATCGCAAACAGAAAATTTCTATTCAAGAATAACAAATTCAATGTATTTGTGAAAAGGAAGTACATCACCTGTTTTCAGATTTTAGAAGTATTTTACCAAGGTGATGGGGGCAATGTTGTTTATTTTGTGACAAAAGTAGTGATCTTATTTTGTAGACACATGGCATGCTAAACACCTAGAAATCTGAGAATTTGTAACTGAGCTACAAAGGAACGCTGTGAGAGCTATTTGTTGTTAGCACTAGTATTATCTTGAACCAAAAGGTTTGTTTGTAAAAAAAGTTGTTTTCAGACCTTGTAGGGCTCAATTATATGGTCAGAGGACTGTAAATCCAAGTTCATTGAACACAGCCATGGTGATGCACTCAGCGATGTTAAGATCTCCTGAGGCCAGAACGCTCTCTGGGAGAGGCCCAGAAGCTTGCAAGACAAAGTGTGCGGTAGGGGGAGAAACTTAAGATACCAGATTTCATTTCATAAATAGAATAATGATCGATAAATGGGAGAATGATCTCAACATTTAAAAACTACCAAAAACTAGTAGAAAGTTACAGCTTGTCCTAAAGTTACTCACTTTGGCCTCTACTAAGTTTAATGGAATATTAATGGAGTATTAGAACAAATTATTTATCTCTACACACCAGAGGAATCTAAAAATGGAACTGGTATTTTATTTAGAAAAGCCACTAAGAAATCTGATGAACTACATATTACAGTGTTTGTTATTATACACACACCCCCCAGGTACAATCAGCTAATAGGAATATTGCTTCTGCTAATTTCACAGGGAAAGGCTGTTTGAATGTTATACGATACAAGAAGTTTCATGATTCTGTCTAATGTATTAAGATAAACTGTATCTCATATACAGTAGGTGTGATTTTAAAAATATGACTGTTGACAATCTGTGTATTAGTTCTACCCAGAGAAACAGTCAGCAGTAAACCTTTTTTTTTTCCAATAAAAATTAAGTGCAACTACGTTGAGATGTGCCAAGGGGAAAAGGTGGACTAGATTACTTGTAATAGTGTTCTTGCTGTACAAACATGACATGTGAACAGATACTTAACATTATTTCATATTTTGCAAGCATATTTTTAAATATTTGTTCATACTACTATTCTTAAGTGGCAAATCTTTCATGTGTTGTTGCCTCAGGTACACCCACAGAAGTTCCATATGCCTCTGCTCTACAACCAAAGCTTACACAAGTGAGAACTCACACACAGTCTGGTAGTAGCTGGTGTGTGTTTATTCCCATACATGCTTGTAAGATGCAACAAAGTCTCTGCAATATACAGTAAATGTCATTCATGCCAAATAATTGTCATTAATGCAATATTTCTTATATTTGAACAACACACAAAAATAAGTTTGCTAAAGGATAACAGCTCTCTGTATACAACTCAAATGCACAAGAATATAATTTCCTAAGAAAAACAAATTCTTAAAAGATCAATGAGGGCAACTAAAAAGTGTGTAACTCTCCAGGGAATTAAAAAAATTGAGGAACATGGATTTTAAACAGGAGAATTTAGAATAAATCTGTGCCATAAACTTTCTTTCTTCTAAGATATGGTACAATGTAAATCAATTAACTAAACTACTGACAAATGCTACTTTCCCTTAGGTTGCTCCAAAAGCAAAAGTCAATGTTACCAGGAAGATAATTCATGTATGAAACCTGAGCACACAGGTATCGAATAATGAGTTTTCATCACTTTGTCAAACCCATTAATATCCTCTCACTCAAGAGGTGTGGTTTTGCCTTTTTTTTTTTTTTTTTTTTTTAGTTCCCTTTTTTTTTTTTTAATTGAAATACTCAAATACATGAATCCCTGCTAATACCTGGTGCTGGGACATACAGACAATGATCTACCACATGCAAAACAATTGCCAAGTGATCAGGACAGGCAATCATCTGTCTCACCAAATCAGATGGTGAAATAAGGCAGCCATACAATTCTTATAGCAATACCAAAAAAATACAATGTGTTCAACTGCACATGGAACAAGGACCATGCAAAGGACCTAAGAGGACCATTTGGAAGGGTCTAATTTTGCCATCTATACCAAAGAGGAATTTTGCAATCACACTTCTGTATACATTTAAAACTTCTTTAGGTAGGTGCCTTCTATAGAATATCTTTAAGGTTCAAAACACAGAAATTATCTTCCCAAGCATTTCTGACACTCATACATGTAAAAATCTAATTCCGTGTGATAACCTTCTACACATGACAGTAATTTTATGGTTGCATCTTTACAATACCATGCCTCTTTTTTCTGGAGACAGGAATGGACATTAGTGGAAAACAAGTCAGTAGCAAGCAGTGTGAGAGCCTGAAGAATCTTAAGTTGTAGCAATAAAGGACTGAGAGATGACCAGCAAAAGCTAAAGCACAAGGACTTGAGACTAGTTTTTTAATTTTATAAAATATGTAACCCCCATTTTCAAGAAGGGGAAGGTGGAAGACCCGGGGAACTATAGACCAGTCAGTCTCGCCTCTGTTCCCGGCAAAATCTTGGAGTGGATTCTCCTGGAAAGAATGCTGAGGCACATGAAAAACAACGAGGTGGTTGGTGACAGCCAGCATGGTTTCACTAAAGGGGAAATCCTGCCCGACCAATTTGGTGGCCAGAGCAGATTTGTAAGATGGAATTTCATATGAGCTCCAGCTGTTTTTATTTTCCATCTGAAAGGATTATCCTAAGGAGAAAAAGGCAGGCTGAAGCTGCTAAAAAGCCCTGCAGACTCCTGTTGCCATCTTTGATGGCTTTGTCCCCTAGCAACTGTCAAATAACTGGCACAAAATCATGTGACAGTTTTTGTTAGTTGAGTTTCATACCACCCAGGTTCAGCCAACTCAGAGTTCATCTCTCCAGAAATTTCAGGAAGCAGAGGTATTACTCAAGACACTGAGGCCACCATATTTTTGGCCATGTTTTGCTCGTAACATACAAAGCCAATTTAAAATTCAGAACAAGTAAGTTTTGCTCAGTTAAAAGACAAAGTTGTGCATTCTCCTGAGTCTGCCGAAGGTATGCATATTTGATAGCACCATTACAGCCAGCCCTGCTAATATGTTGCTTGGGCCCACCTACACAGCGTAGTGGAGCACTCTATGAAGGTTTTGGCCACATCAGCAGCTGGAACATTGGTATGTACACAGCAGCACCCTGCAGAAGTATCAGCATGGGTCCTGGAAGCTGCATTAGCTAACCCACAGTGTGAAGGGACATCTGACCTAGGCAGGGCTGTACCACGCTCTCAAGAGCATCAGCATGCTCTTGAAAGCACCCCAGGGTGTCCACCCACACCTCAGACCCAGACATTTAGAGAGGTGCCGAGGCTGTTCACATGTGTAGCACACTAAAAGCAGTTTCCCAGTACAGTTCAATCAGTCCCAGGGCTAGCTGCTTCCCTTTTCCCTACTCCTGCTCCTGCCTTTGACCTTGCACAGGACTTCGCCTGATCCTCTCTGATAAGCCAATTTTAAGGTTGAGCCAGGCACTAGTGGGACATACTACAGTTAGAGGGTTGGCAGGGGAAGTGTTTTGTTTGGTTGGGTTTTTTTGATGTTTGTTTTTTTTCTCTTTTACTCCTCTCAGTTCACTCCGAGGTACAAGGGAGAAGACTGGATTGAATGCATGTGGGGAAGAGAGAAAGCATCAGTGTGAGAGAGCTGTGAGATCAGTTCAAACTGCAATTTGGTAATATAGCCAAGTTCGCTACAGGAAAATTCTGTAAAGGAGCTAAACACTGTTAACTTAGCAGCTGGTGGCATTTAACTATGCGTAACATTCTACGGGAAAACCGTCAGCAAATGTTTCTATTAAATTGTAGTAGTAATAAAGATCTAAAAGGAAACATGACTTTCAAACTTACATAATACATTTGAAACCAACACTCTCTGCAGAGCGTATAGCAACCACAAGTCAGCAGTTTCCAAAAATGAGTATCATTGCTTACCGCTTACACACAGTAAGTGTGGCAGAGCAGTCTTACAAGCAGCAAGCTGATGTCACTCTGCTGTGGTAGCAACTGCCTAGCAAGAACACAGTGTTGGTACTTTGCTGCCAGAAAGTGAATTCTCAGATACCGGTATTTCACAGCAGAGGAAAACAAGTAATTGTTAAAATTAACTACATGTTATGCAGCTCCTACTAGTAATTATAATAAACAGACAAGCTAATTCATCCTGTTCTTACTACATTCACTGTTGAAACTCAAGTAAGAACCACTGTTAGGTTTTGTTTGGTTGGCTTCCTTTTTTATTAGGAAGAATGCAGTTTTCGTCATTTAAGATGGCTAAGGTGTTCATACCATTCTTTGTAATGTCTAGATCTCAAAAAGATAGCTGTTGAATGTGATTTTTATGATATCAAGGAATAAACAAATACATGGAAAACCTTGCTCTACAAAATACATACAAGCTGATCTTCCAACGACATTCTTTTTGTCAATGGGATTAAATTAGCAGGGAACCTTTCCTTGCTGACCTCCAAATAACATCCCTTTTTGTCAATGGAATTAAACTAGCAAAGGGTTTTTCCTAACATTAGAACAGAAAGAACCTAAAAGTAAAGTGAAGCAAGAAAAACGACATACCTATCAGTAAGTTGCCAATTTTTACTCCTGAGTAACTGCAGTTACTATTTAGTAAAATGGTGCTGTTGAGGTTACTTACTTCCTGCTAAGCTCCTTTCACCTGACTAGCTAACAAAAGATTCTAAAACTGAAAGCTTAACAGCAGTAACTTTCCTCACAATGTATCTTGCATGAGGCTTGTTCCTTAAGCTAGTGATCATTTCTCAGTATGACATGCAGAGGCTTAATAGTGGACTCCTAATAGAAATTACTATAAATTTTTCATATCCCTGAGTCCGTAATATACCTTTTTCTATGTTTTATATCAAATACTGGTAGTGTTTGGCATGAATTGAGTAAGCGACTCACCTTCATCTAAAGGAACCTCTTCCTCCTCACAGGGTGAAGGAAGAAGAGGCTGTAGAGGTTCCATGTTGATTATGAGTTGCTTGTTCAAGGCGGGAGAGCTGCGACTCTGGGTAATGCTGGTTCTAAAAGAATGGGGAAAACAGCATCAGCTTATTTGCAAGGAAACAATTGCAGTCCAATATGTCTCACCGCAGACTCATTTTGCATATATTACACTAGGACTTGAACTATCATAACAAGCATTGCACGCTGAACGATGCTTTAAACCATGTTATGTTGAAGCCTCGGCAGATGTAAATCTTTCAACATTAGAAATGTAAGAGAAGGCTTTGTGCTGGTTTACTTCCTTTTCACAGCCTGATTCCTCTTCATCTTACATAGGATTTCAACATGTTGCTCCTTTCCATCCTGCACAGTACACATAAGTATTTGGCTTCAAGGAGGTGGAAGGTAAAAAGAATACAAAACATTTTCCTCATGTTGTCGCATTGCCTCCAGGACTGGGTGAAGGATTTTTTATGTTTTGAGCACTGCAGACTAAAGACTAAAGCAGGAACAACTGCATCTTCACTGTCTATCTCTTAACAGATAGACAGCGCTCTCATTCTCACGCATCCTAGACACTGTCTCTATGCCATGCCTCCAGGTGCTCAGGCTGGTTTTCTTTCTTGTCTTACTTGGTTTCAACAGGCTTTCCTGGTAGGAGATGTTGAACCTTCCCAGGGAAATTTGAGGAATGCTATTGATTCACTTCAGCCATGAGACTCATTAGACTAAAATCACATTACTGAAAATGTAAAATAGCTCTTTAGAATAAGTTATCTAAGACTTACATGATACAGGCCTGAAGCAAGAGTTCTGCAATAAATCTGAACCATTACAACATATTTACTTTTGATAATAGCAAAGATGAAATGGAAGAGGATTTGATTTTACTTCAAATGTACACAGGTACAGTGCTGAAGTTTCACAAAATGCATTTCAAGTTTTCACAGTCTCAACTTAAAATTACACATAGATTAACAAATTCAACAAAGTATCTACTGTAAGTGGTAAGAAGGGACTGTGTGTTGCTGAGGGTTTAGGTAAATTTGGGACACATGTCTTACTCTTGTTCACATTACATGTCATTAAATATTCCATGGGGATAAACAAGCTTTCTTGCTCAATTGCCATGATTCCTTGCTCATTAATGTATGCCCAAAGCTACTTATGCTCTCTTTTGCATGCTGTAAGCAGTCTCTAGTAACTATTGAGTTTTAATTTTCACTATCCAAGGAAGTATTTTAGAATACTGTAATTACAAGCATTCCAACTCAACGGTACTTCCAAAGGCTTGTTATGCAACCCCTGGATCTTTGTGCCTGCTGTAAAGAGCTAAAAAAACTAATCCAAAATAGAAGCTGTGCTCGGGAGCACACGCAGGGAGGGCTCCTACTCTGTACTTATTTACCAAGATTGCTCCTTCAGGCATGGTCTGGAAGCAAAATACTAAATCATTCAGTGTGTATTTTTCAGAAGAACTTGGCACTGCATTAATCTTGCACGACTACACACTCCAAGATATCTTCAGTCTGTAGTGCTTTGAGTGTGATATCCAAACACAAAGATACTGAACAGTAACCTCCTCACAACTGCATGTTTCTTTCTCAACGCAGCCATGGTACCACTGAACTGACTTTGAGGGAGACAAAACTTTATATATAAATACAATTATATACATATAAATACACATCAATATATACAAATAGGTATTTACCTTCAGTCATATTTCATCTAGAAATATGCATATGAAAAACTACCATTTCTCATCTCCAAATCCTCTTTCATAGAGTAACTTATTTCTAAAGTCTGCTTTCTTTGAGCTGAATATTTTCTATGCTTTTTGATGACTTGTGCTATTAGAAGGACAAGCTATCTGTCTCCCATTTCAAAACCTGTGCTATAAAAACGCTTAATATAATTAGACTTTTTCTTAGTCTTTCTAAGAAACTGAACTTAGAGCTGCCATAATATTGTAAATACAAGCATTTTAAGAGGTTAACCATTAAAAATATGTATTGTTATTTATGGGTGCTAAATACATACATCATTGTTCTACAAACTTATCTGCCCTCTGATCTGTTTCTTCACATACATTAAGAGTTTTAAATAATATGTTCAAAATAGTTTAAATACTGAAACCAAAAAAAAGTAAAATACAAGGCAAAAAAATAATCTTACATTAAATATTTTCTTATCCTATGGAAAACAGAAACCCTACAGAAAGTAGATAATAAGCTATTTCCTTATGTGAATAACTATTTTCATCTAAAATACATTTGTGGACCCAAGTAATCTACCCTGCCTCAGTGGTATATCTATATTCTGCCTTTTATGTTCTCAGTTAACACATTCTAGACTGTCACTTACCTCATTTTTAAACGTAATCTGAAAAAGTATGTTCAAAAGCATCCTGCATGTCCTTACTGTTAATTACATTATAGGGCTAGCCAAATACTTAAAAATATTTGCTGCAACTATATTCCTACCCTCTACTAAAGATAATCCACTTTTCTCTCAAGTATGGATGGAATAGTCATATTCAATTAAAAATAAACCAAACACACAGGCGAACCCTTGAAAATACCACAATAAAAACAGGGATATGGTTGTAGAATGTTCAGAAAGTTAAGTAACCTTTTAAAAAGGTCTTTAAACAGTTTTTTCCTGCTGCCTTTTTTCTTCTTTTCTGAAGGACTTTAATTAGGTTCTTGTCAATTTTCATCATCACGAGTAATGCTAGAAAGCATTACTTTGCTTGCAAAGTCTAGCTGCTTATTTTTAACAAGCCAGATTTTTCTCTGAAACAAAAAGATTCTCTGATCTTTTTCCTCTTTACTGAAAGAATTTCTTGTTTTTTTAATTTGAGTGCGTTATAAAAAACTATCAAATATACTTTTAAACATGCCCATATACATACACAGAAAATTTCAAAATCAGGCAAGAACTAGGAATGAAAAAAGAACATACTTTTCTGTCAGGATCATGTAATAACATTGTATGTATAACCTAGATAACAATATAAGCTACTTATATAACTTATTGATTAAATGAAGCTTCACATATAGCTTCACACATATTTCCCAAGGCTTTCATACCTCATTGTGGAATCTTAGAATGACAGCCATTACACCTTACAGTAAAGGAAAGAGAATTTCCTTGTAGAGAATAATCCTGCTTAGTCCTTAAACTTTAATATCAAATGTCAAGACATACCTGTGAACTTCAGGAGGTACCCTCTGGATTTTAGAGCTTGCCTCCACAACCTCTTTGGCTACTTTTCCGCTGCATTAAAACACGAAATACATATTCAAGGAAATGCCAAGCACTATACATACATGAACAATTAAGTTACATTCAAAAGTTGAAAAGAAAAAGTAAAAAAAAAAAATTAAAAAAAATCGTATGTAGCGGAAATACAATGTTTCAGATTAAAAATGCTGCTGACCACTTGTCTCCAAAGCTACTAAGAAAAAGCAACCTTTTGTAGTAGCACGCCAGGTGTGATTGGACTGTCCCACTACTGGCCCCTGGTCCATAACTGCCCAGTTACCGGGGGCACACAGTCTCTGACCTGGTCACACACACTTGTTTTTACAGAAAATGCAATGAAAGTGGAGGCCTGTTCTGGTGAAACTGATCTTTGACAAAAGTCTGCCAGAAGCCTCCGGTTTATTTACTAAGTGATGCTAAAGAGATAACAGAAAATCTTTCGAATCCTGACTTGAATGAAGTGTGAATGGATCCTCAAGAATGAAAAGCCTTCAATTTGCCATGAGTAATTACAGATGTTTTCTCTTACTTTCTGAAATGGTTCACCATGAAAAAGAAAAGCAAACACGCACCTGTATCGAAATCTACTGCCTTTAAAAAATATCTTGCTGCTGGACATGGTCTTGATCTGACTGGATTTTGCATACCTTGAAGAAAAATCATAGAGTCTGTCACATTTTCAGCACAGAAGGAACCTGATAAGCAAAACTGAACAAAGCAAACTAAGCTTTGTTATTTTTAAAACACAAAGTAGTATTCAATAATTGAGCTTTCCAACTTTTTTTAAGCCTTTATACAAATTAAAATATAAAGCACACATATAACAATTCAGACAGCATAGAACGACTGAACATGAACCAAGTGATTACCTGGATAAGAAAGCAAGAAAATTAAATGCAGACACTTGCTGCATCTCTAGGGATTTTCATTCACAGGATGAAGGAAAGACTGTGATACATCAAAAAGCCCCTAGGACAAGTTTGCCCTAACACCAGCTTGTTTGTGGGAAGATATGGCTATTTCCACTTTCCCACTAGTAAAATGAAGGCATCATAAAGAAGTAGTAATGCTTCTCTCCTGAAGTAGTTGAATTTCTCCATACAGTCAACTTCTTAGTAGCCTATATCATATGCTACTGTTTCTCTAATCACGAAGTACGGCTACCTTTTATCACAAGGATCATGAAAGAGCACCTAAGACACACCATCTCCTTGATGTTCTCTGCCTTCAAAGTGGCAAACTGATTTTGTCTGGAATCTCTCATTCCCAGATCCTAATAGACAATCTTCTGTGATCTGTATCTACTTGAAAATAATCACAACAGTCAACCCTGAGCCTGGATTGAGATAGGACTTAAAACTCTGCTTTTCAAGACATGCCAACTGAAGATGACCTTATTTTAAATTCAACATCTCAAGCTCTTCTAAGCAGAGGAGAGGACCAAATCTAATTAAGATATATCATGAATTACTTACAGAACCTGACTATGACTGTTCTGATCTTGTTAGAATACCTTGTTGGTATCATAGAGAACATAGACAGGATTTATCTAATGCTGTTATATTACTAACAGTCCACACTATACAGCTCAATTTCTCTGAAATGTATGAAAACTTTTGCTGTTTTGAGAGTACCCTCCTAAGCCTGTATTTACAGATTGCTTTGGCTTCAGTTTCATGTTTGGAGGATTCTTGTAATTTTTCTGCACCCCGCCCACTAACCATTACTATTTTCCAATCTGTCAGCCAGATTCCTCTCCATCATATATCACTACCAGTCTTCATTTTAGTAAACTGGTTCTCGTTTAAGACCCACTAAAATCATAAGAGGTAAGAAAAATTTAAAAATATCATGCTGAAGAAATAACCCACAATAGTGCCCTGAAGACATCTGAAAAGTAGAAAAAAATCCATGAGAGAAGCAGCCCTGCAGATGCAAAGGTCAGAGAAGGAGGGGAGGAGGTGCTTCAAGCGCTAAAGAAGAGATTCCCCTGCAGCCCGTGGTGCAGATCATGGTGCAGCAGGCTGTCCCCCTGCAGCCCACGGAAAACCAGGCAAGAGCAGATATCTGCACTTCAGCCCATGGAGGACTCTGCACTACAACAGGTAGACATGCACTGAGGGAAGCTACAGCCCATGGAGAATCCACACAGGGGCTGGCTCCTGGCAGGAGATGTGGCCCATGGAGAGAAGCCCATGCTGCAGAAGGTTTATCCTGAAGGACTGCAGCCCATAGGAAGGACCAATGCTGGAGCAGTTCACAAAGGACACTAGAGCAGGGGAAAAGTGTGGGGAGGAAGGAGCAGGGAAAAACTGCTATGAACTGACTGCAACCCCCACTCCCTGTCTCCCTGTGCTGCTCAGGGTAAGGAGAAGATAGAGGAGTCAGAAATGGGGTGAAGTTGAGCCTGGGAAGAAACAGTAGAAGGGTGCTTTTGGGTTTGTCTTCATGACACTTTAAAATAAAGTAGGTGAGAAACACATTAAATTAACCTTCCCCAAGTCAAGTTTGTTTTGCCAGTGACAGTAATAGGTAAGCAATCTGTCTGTCTTTATCTCAACCCATAAACTGGGTGTGCATCTGGCACCTATTCAAGGTCAAACCCACCATGACCATGCGACCAAAACCCAAACAGTTAATATTACAACCATTTAGCAATAAGAGCAGAGAGATGATATTCCTATGAGCCTCCCTGAGCACTAATTTCTTTCCTTTGGGTGGGAATTGTTTCCTATTGCCTACATTTATTTCTAGTAACATAAAAAAAAAACTGCTTAAACACCACACAGTATTTTCCTATTTACATGTACTTCCAACAGAAAACACTTCCTGATAATATTTTTACTAATTCAGTCACAAACACAGTAGATATTAACACACAGAATTAAGAGCTGTATTTTGCCAGCTCATATTTCCTGTTTCTTCACTGAACATACCAACTGAATAGTTTATATTACTATATTATTTTATCAGCGTTGAAACAAAAGAAGAAATCTTCTCTGAAATGAAGTAGGTCATTATATCCACAGTAGAAGCACATTCTTACTGCTTAGTTATTATTTACCCTTACAGCAGCCCCCTGGTGTTGCTATGTTCCAACACAGAAATGGTAATTTTTATAAACTATGCAAGAGGCTGTAAAGAAAGGCTAAGTCGGAAGAATGAAAGCTCCATGCCTAAAGGGGAGCGTCAATAAACAGATCTAACAAAGTCAGTGGAGGGCAGAAAGAGCTTTTTAATGAGGAATTATTTTCAAGTTTTCTTTTAGGAAATAGGAAGGAAGACACTCCTTTTTTCTTGTCAATTTATAGACTTAAAAAAAGAAAAAAAGAGATGGCTGGCATCTTTCAAAATGTATCTAAGAACATTTTCTTTTCTAAATCATTGTAATTTTTTTTTATATCCAATCAACTCTTACTAAACCTTAGAGAGTGGAAGAATGTTACCTAGTGGCAGAAGAGCCCAGAGAATAAAGCATAACATTGTTTCCTCCATTCTAAAGGTATTTTAACAGCAGGGGTGATTTAACAACTGTGCTCCCAGACACAAAGGCAGTACTGTGTCCATACCATGACACACTACAGAGAGCAAAAACAGTGTGCTGGGAACTGTAATTATTGACTACCAAACCCCTCCTGTCTCATGCAGATTTTAAACACTTTATAATACCAGCTTGGAATGAAATAATATTCTCCATTAACTTGTATCTTTCTTTTTGTGTTTTGAATTCTGCTAATAAAACGCAACATTTCACATTGAACAATCTCCTACTCACTTGAACTTTTTTTACTTTTATTATAGGAAATTACTTCAGGTTTACATACTTGTAAAAAGCCTGGTTCTCCACCCCACATTTCCAAAGATGCTTGCAGGCTGCTGGTGTAGAGGTGTGGAATGACAGCATAGTCTTTTTCTAAGTGTGAGGAAAAGAAGGCAAATAAAAGTATTGAAAATGTTGAATTCTCAAAGATTCAAGTAGCTGTTCCTGACAGCATCACCATGAACCAGGTACACTGAAGACCAAGCTTTCCTGTGTAGCCTCAGTCTGTGGTTCATCCATGCAAATACAACTCATACACAGCCGATAATTAAACTGCCTAAGCAATTGTTTCAGAAATAAAAGGGATTGTTGGAGGGGGCAAAGAAGAGCATATGTACATGTTGCTTGTAGAATACATCTGAACCAACTGTATTCAGGCCAAAATCAAAGGATGAAAGTCTCCATGTTCAATATTCCGCATTGCATAGTTGCTGCACCACTTACCATCCGCTTCTCCCCATTTCCTATGTCCCTCCATCAAATCCTCATTGCAACAACACAAACAGCCCCTAATATCTCTGGAATTATTGCCTTCCTCCATGTTCTGTTCCTCACCTAGACTGTATCTAAAGCCATAGCCTTGATCTATCTCATTCTACCCTGAGGGAAGAACTGATTATAGCATGCAGTAGGCAAAAATCTTTACAAGTTCAATGGCAAGGCAGAACTCTTATCTACCTAGGACAGGCTCCAATCTCTTCAGCTGACCAAGATTTGAGAAGATCGTAATTAGCCAAAAATACCTCACACCGATCCTGAATTTTCAACCATATACAGATGTCACTCATGTTTTAGAGTGGGTACAGCTTAAGTGCTCTAAAATCCATTAAAACCTGACTACACAGACAACCAAAACCATGAGCAATCAACACAGTACTGCATGAATATTAAGTAACCAGTGTCTCAACCCTTTGCAAATTAGACATTCTTTTGACATCAGGAATATTTACATTCACTTGTCTTCTATATTTTAGGTATAATAGGAAGTACAGTTATTGGTTCTTTAGATATTCGTTTCATTGAAAAATGATGTTATGTCTTAGTTGATTCTAAATCAAACACAGAAGTTCTATAACAGTATTGAACCTGACCTCTTTCTGAGCTCCGAACACATAAAAAGTCTTCCCTTCAAATTTCAGTTTATAGACATCACACCTAGAAAGAGAAAAATAATTTAAGTATAGGAAAAGTAGATCAACAGGTAAGAAAAGCAACTTACATGCAAGTTTCCCCAAATCCCAAGCCAAGTGTGTCAAATGATAAAGAGCCTCAACAGATCTTTATCATAAAAGCATTTAATATTCTGATTTTCTCTATATTAGAGAACATAAGCCCAGAGTATTTATTTTACATTCCTATGCACCTTCAAAGAATTAACTTTGGCTGCTAGAAAATGAAGAGGATATTAAAAGTAGGTAGAAGCTTATGTTTACATTCTATTTACTACGCAGTTTGTAATTCCTCTTATATTTTAAAATCTTGGAAGTTCTAATGTAATTAAGTTGAGGGAATGTCCTGGGTTCAGCTACAGCAGTCATTTTTTCTCCTTCTTAGTAGCTGGTGCAGTGCTGTGATTTTGACTTTCAGTCTGGGAACAACGCTGATAACGCCGATGTTTTTAGTTGTTGCTCAGTAATGTTTACTCTGACCAAGGACTTTCTCAGTCTCCTGCTCTGCCAGGGAGGAGGGGAAGCTGGGAGGAAGCAGAGGCAGGACACCTGACCCAAACTGGCCAAAGGGGTATTCCATACCACAGCACGTCATGCCCAGTATAGAAACTGGGGGGAGTCACCCAGAAGGCCCAGATCGCTGCTCGGGTCGGGCTGGGTATCGGTCAGTGGGTGGTGAGCAGATTGTGTCCTCTCCCCTTGTTATTTCCCTTATCATTATTATTATTGGTGGTAGCAGCAGTGGTTTGTATTATACCTTAGTTACTGGAGTGCTCTTATCTCAGCCCGTGAGAGTTACATTTTTTCGATTCTCTTCCCCATCCCTCTGGGAGCAGGGGGAGGAAGAAGAGGGGGAGTGAGCGAGCAGCTGTGTGGTTCCTAGTTACTGGCTGGCCTTAAACCACGACAGGAAAAGATGATAATCTTATCTCTATCCTTATTTGTTTGTGCTTCCATGTCACACATCTTAGTAACTGACTACTCACAGATAGAACACACAGGAAGAAAAAGAAAATGTCTGACAGCAGTTATTACTGGGGCCTTGTGAGTTGCAAACCTATGTCAAAACTTAATATAACCATGGTTGAAAGCACAGTTTACATACAGAATAGCAGTGCACCTGTTATATGGAATATAAAGATTATACAATGCCTCTGCAGAAAATGTAGTGGAAATTTTGTCATAATCACAGCTAAAATGGAGACACTGTAGCTTCATAAACTTCTCTAAAGATTTTGGATGTCAGATGGTTGAAATGGGAACAATTCTGGAAGCAAGGTCCATGCTTTCCCTGAAACTTTACAAGAGTTTGCTTTAACATGAAATAACAACAAAAAATCATTCCAGTTGAGAAAGTTTTTACATTGAAAAGAACATCTCAAATATGAATTTGAGCTAATTTCAGCTAATATCAGTTAAAGCTATTAGCACTCACTTCTAGATTTCAAAAATGAAATAAGCAGTACATGGCATTTAGATCAGTCTCACCAGATCTACCTTTTAACGGCCAGCATAACACTGAGACAGCTTGGTGGCTTTTCCTCTATCCCTGTTTCATTTTGTATTTGGTGTATATGCCAACGGACCAAAGGAATATTTCTGAAAGGACATATGATCCTTAAGCAAGATGAAAAACCAAGTGCTGTGAAACTCATTTCCCACAGTACGGTACATGCTTGGCAAGTGCTAGTCTCTCCTCCCTGCACTGTAGATTAAAATTACAGTTATATTGTCCTTATGCCAAAAGCACATACCATGAAAGTACTGTGACTAAGGCTACCTGAAATTAACCCTAGGGAAACTGCAGCACAAACCCAGAATCACAAATGGATGGTATTTGACAGACATGTCTCCAGAGGTCCATAGGGAACCAAATCACACAGACAGGACTACACTGACTTTACACCTCTGAGAATTTCAGGTTAATCAACTATCAGGGAGGTTTCTATGGATATGCAGATAATAGTCCAGTTCTACACAAAAAAAACATCTCACCATTTCTTCACCTTCTGCACATCTTCAACAGGCTGGTAGCACCTGGGTGAAGCAGCCACATCTAAGAAACTAGTGTTGGCATCTGTTTAGCAGCAGGGCTAAAGTGTAATTTATCAATGTGTAAGCATGTTTGTGCTCACTCTGCACCATATTGCTGAAGGCATAGCCAGCTGCTATTACCCCACCTTCAGGTCTGTGTTACCTCTCCCTCAAACATGGCTGAGGCTACCCAATTAAGTCAAACATCTTACAGGAGCAGAAAATAAAAGCAAAGCAAAGCCAGACAAACCAGGGACAATTGTGTAAGTGTCCACTTCTTAAAAACAGAGGCCAAAAAAAATAAAAATTCAGAGCATTCTCATCTCCTCCTTTGCTTACCAAATAAATCCTTCTACAGTGTTCAAATTGAGGTTAATTAAATGAGGAAGTAGCAACATTTCCAAGAGGCAAATAAAGATGCAGGTAGACTCCTGTAAAGTCTTCCAGACATCTCTGCCAATAAGCCTCACTGGTGATTTACAGCATAGTTGAAAAATTAACTTACTCAATTTTAGCATTAGTGCATTATGTTGATTAATACACCCTGTGAAATAATTTTCACTGGAGGAAGAACAAGACCAAATTATTATTATTATATTTCTCATCTAACATCCTTTAAAACAGAAACATGATCAGACAAGTAAAGGAATATTCACATGGTTCATCTTAAAGACAATAAATGCAGGTGAAGATAGTACAAAGAAGGGAAGACACAGGAGAGAAAACTCACATATTTATCTCCTCTTAGTTCACATGCTTACCATTTTATCAAATGAATTCTTTTATTCCCCTGGAAAACTACAAATCCTGCAGCTGTGAATCCTAAAAATGTAGTCATCCCCATTGAGTCCTTGAAAAAGAAAAAAGGAAAAATAATTTTCCCCTCATCCAGTGAGGTATTGCCTACTTACAGTATAAATTGTTACTCCACTATAGATTACCTCTATTTTATTTTCCTTTTCAAAATCAATTTTGCCTTCAAATTGAACACTTCTAAAGAACCAAGACTGCTCTTGGCAATACAGGCCCTATTTATTTCTAGGCATTTAAATGAATAACAGCAACTTACGTTTTGTTTCAGTCTACTTCTAGCTGATGATAACAGGGAATTCTTACGTATATTACTAATTTTGTTGAAAACATACTTCTGTGTAAGTCATTCTTAATGTACAGACTAATTATAAAGCACTGGTTCACATCCGCTTCAACATTAATCTATTTTAAGATTTCATAATACGCTTTTCCTCTGCAAGATGCTGTGTTGGAAGTACTGCTGACAGTGTTTACTACAATAAGCAAGTACTCTTGAGTACAAACCAGAATATATAGTGCACTTGCCTTTCAAATAGGAAAGACTATTTTTTATTTTTTTAATTCCGAAAAAATTCTGTAATTAAAGTAATAAAAAATGCAGGTGTAAGGGATAATTAGAACTGGTAACTAAAATCATCTACTTATAGAGAACCATGAAATAGCAAAGTGGAGGAATATATAAATGCATATCTGGTTCTTTCCTCTGTACATTTGGCTTGCTGTTCTTCCTAAGATCTGCATATCTTGAGGGTGTTTGACAAACTAATCTGCCAAGGACTAACAATTTGTTGCACCTTCTGGACAGAATAATGCTAAATCCTGAAAATCTTGTCAAACAAAATATTTCATACTTTGAGGATTTAGAGAAATCTTTGCATTAGATGAAAAGAAATTATGAAGCATAATCAAAGCTTTTGTCATGACACTCTACTACAGTCTCCTATGTTGTTCTGTTTCCTTTGGAGAGACCTTTCCTTTGACTTATGCAGAAATGTTGAGCAGTCCATGTTCTTCCAATGTTCTTAAATGTAGTATGTAGTTCCAGGGCAAGTTCTTTTATAAATTATTCCCTATTTGTGATTGGGTGAAAAGCAGATAAATCAATTAAATTAATGTCTTCTTACTAAATGTTAGTAAAAAGAACATTTTATTAAATGTTAGTAAAAATAACTGTTACCTTGCAAGGATGAGGATCAACACCATAAGTTTCCAAAGAATATGCTTTCAGGAGCAAATTAAACTCAGCAACAGCTGGGCTCTGACCTCTGAAATTATGAAAGAAACAGTACTTTCATAAATCATAGAATGGTTGGAGTTGGAAAGGACAGCAAAAAAAAAAAAAAAAAAAGAAGAAAAAGACTTTTTGATTGGGGAGTTTAAAACCTAAAAAAGGAGAAAAGAAAGGGTCTCACTGAAATACAAACTATTTCAACCATGTTCTCTTTATAATATAAACATAGAAAACTTTTTACATGTTTTCTCCTGCCGATTGTACAGTCATGTTTTTTTCTCAATCCTGAGATAACGTCATGTTACTGCCATTAACCAGAGCTATCCAATATCCCACAAGTATTTCTTGTCTTCTGATGTACATGCACATCAGCTTGAATATGAAATAAACCTCAGTATCTGTTTTCCACAAACTCCTGTTCCCCAACTAATTTAAAAGGATTGTGTAGATTAACAAACATTCCTTGCAGTACAGGATATAAACACATCAGTCATAGAATCACAGAATCATAGATCATATTACACTGTCTACTCAGATGCATGCCTGATTATATCAGTGCCTGTTACCAACATGATAGTCCAGAATCTGTCAGCATTTCCATTATATACCCCTATTTTTAGGGTATCTATAATCAGCTACGAATATACACATGCAAGACTTGACTTCTAGAGTAAGCTTTGTTATTTGATTTTTTCTCTTGTAATGCCTTCATTTCTAATGCTGTTGCAATGAATTCGTAACACAGATTTATAATGCCTGTTTATAAGTGAACTGTTCTGAGTATTATTTTATTTATGTATTTTCATGACTAAAATATATGATTCTGACAGATAGTATGGTTTTGTGACAATTAGCAGTGCTTAGGACCTTTAGAAAGCCAGGCCTCACAAATGCTTCACACGCAAATTACCCAAAAAATAAGCCATCAACAATGGCTCAAAGAGCTATCCTCTGTTCTTCAAGGAGCACAGCAACAGTCACACTTTACCTTACCCCTGCATTTTGGGGTCCAGTCTCACATTGTGACTAATGGCACTTGGGAACTGGCATTTAAAAACTGCTGTGTGCGCTGGTGTAGAATAATTTCCCTGTAATCTGTTATCCTCAAGTAGGTAGAAACTAACGAGCATTGGCACATGAGATTCAGTATGCAGCCAAAGTTCAGTTTAGCAATTAAGACAATGTCTAGCATGCTTCTGAATGTCAAATCCCATCTTGAACCCACCAACCTGATGCCCTGTGGCACTTTCTGTTACAAAGTTTTAAATTTGTGCTCACTTGTACTTCACTGCTCCTCATCTCCCAGTCTTCCATATGTCTTTTGGTCGTCTTTGATACTACACTACTTGCACCTTATTTCAGATAACATTTTTGTTGATGTTTAGCTTTTAAAGAAAAAAACCCACACAAGATTAGAGAATAAGTACCCTTCTGTTTCCTTCTTTTTTTGGTCTCTCTCTCAACACTTTTCAATGAAGCAGGACATGTTCAAGTAGAACATCAAAAATTATAAATGCACATTTACACAGCTAAATATTTAAGGAGAGGACACCACGGAAGCAGCAAACAAAACAAAAATGCTTATTTTCCCAATCAGCATTTAGTAGCAACATAGTAAACTGTTCTTCTCCCTTTTCAATACTAATTATAAATCACAACTTTAAGTGTAATCTCAACTGTAAGATCACAAATGACCCTTAAAAAGGCAATAAGTTTGTTTCATGTACCAACAAACTGCATAGGACAGACGTAATTAACTAATTTGACCTAAATTACTTAGAACACTTACATTGCATATGAAGCCAAAAAAACAGATGGTCTGATTGCTTACTGGAAACTGGACCTCACAAAAAATAAAATCGTAAAATGCATCTTTTTCCACCTCCCTTTGCTGGTACAAAGGAAAGTAGTCAGTGTTCTGGTTTGAAAGGACCAAAAAGTGACAATTAATTTGGAAAATGTGATTTGGGGTTCTGGCATAGAATCACAGAATGTTTTTGGTTGGAAGGGACCTTAAGATCATCTAGTCCCAGCCCCCCTTGCCATGGGCAGGGACATCTCACCAAAAATATTAAATGGCAATTATTATTAAAGAGGGACATTAAAAATAATTAGCATGCTCTCCTCAACTATGGCTTCTGAAACTATGCTGTCTTTGTGCATGTCAAGTGGAACAAGCTGTGGTACCTAGGGAAAAAAAAACCCAGGAGACATGGACAAGTTTGGTCTTATCAGATTACAGGCTAATCAAACAGCTACTGTGCCAAGCCTTAAAAGAACATCAAGGGCAATATCAAATGAAAAAATCCTCATTCATCCCTTACCAAGGGATTGTCAAGGCTTGATAATACACTTCTCATCTCTTAACTTAGTAATGAAATTTTCCTTACTAAATGAAAATGTAACTATAGCAAATCCTATCAGCAAAATCAACATCTTTTCATCAATCACTGATTTAACATTAGCTATGCCTTTGATAGGCTCTGTTAAAAAGCCTTTAAGATTTCTGTATATAAGAAACAGCCTTGCACAATACATCTTTCCTGTTTTGTAACTCAGTTCTCTCAGGGAAGTTGGGTTTCTCTCTCAGTGCATTCACTCCTTTTGACCTTATGTAACTTCAAAATTTTTCAGTATGTGTTCAGCATTATTTTCATATGTTGCAGCCACTATAGCACCCAGCTGCAGTTTGCTACAGGTTCTGAACTGGACCAGTAAAGGAAACCATTACACAGAAAAGTTTCTGTATACCATACAAGTAATAAAATGTGGATTACTTGTGAAATTAGACCTCCATGATTATTAGCCACGAATTAATGATTTGACCTTGGAATCAATCTATCTAAGAATTCCTAATAAAATTGTAATGAAACAAAGACTTTAATAGAAGACTTAGAAGTCTGCAACATGCTCTGTTTTTTGCTTTAGGCTCATGACAAGTACACAGTAGAGGATGTACAAGCTCTTTATTCCCCACAGGGTCCCCAACTCTGAAGCACTTCAAAAGCCAGGAAGCTCAACAGGGAATACATCCAGGGTGTGCCACAGCAATGATCTACTTGTTTTGCTGTCTGCTCACACCAGTTCACTCTTAGAATTTTCTCCCCTTCATACCTTTCCTTTGAGGTATGTATCCCTTAGAAACCTAAGTAGTGAAACTTTAAGAAAGTCAAGGATGAGATAGCACAGGATTGAGCATTAATTCCTTTAAACCAACAGGGAAGACTGTATAGCAATAACAGCAATTAAAAAACATTTTCAATGCTATTCTTGGTTTCTTGCTTCCTGAATAATCTTAGTAAGACACATCATCTATCTTCCCTGATTCCCCTACTGACTTACAAAGTGCTGTGAGATACTCCTATCAACATACTACTGAATAACAAAAGACATAATTGTTGTCCATCCTTTTGCCTCATCTCTGTGTCAAAGTTACTTGCTGCAGAATAGAACAGCAATCCTGTACTTGAGCATGCCCCATGTTCAATTAAATGAAAGGGTGTTTCAATAGAATTAATTCATAGAATAAATGCATATGTATATAATGATCTAGCCTCTAGAAACATTACATATTCACCTCCATGCAAATCAGCGAAAAGTACCAACCGTGAACCTCTAAAAAACATAGGCTCGATCTCCATCAAACACCCTTCACCCTGTCCTGCAATTGCAGACATACTTCACTGCATCCTCAGATCGCAGTAACTATTTCAAGAAGTATTGTCATCTAGGAAATATTCTCCTTGCTATATCCCAGATCTCATACAGGACATCCCTCAGCAGAAAAGGTTACCTGGGTTTCCTTTTAACCTAAAAAAAGCCAGAATTCTGCATAAAGAGTCAACAGATTTAACCACACTATGCAATGATCACAGAACTGCTTACCACACGGCTAAGGTTTTGCTGTTGTTTCTTTAAATATTTTTACAGGTGATTGAGACTCCAATTGCTATACAATTACTGTGTTTAAGGTCTTGAGTAGTTTTTACTTTTGCTCTAAGCTCAGGAGATTTTGGCAGACAGTGGAGATGTTTCTCTACTAGCATTTTTAGTCACAATGAAGGTCGTAAGGAGGACTATGTGGTAATGAAACACAAACCCGCTACAATTATCAGTATGTCAGTTGTATTGGAGACAATAGCACAACAGTGGTGATAATTCAAAGAAAAGTGCTAAATGAAGACACTGGTAAGCGAAATTGTGATGCAAGCTGTGTCTCAGTTTATCAAATTAGCGAGGCCATGCTTTGCACATTGCCCACGCAGCAGCAGTGCTCCCCTGAGAACTGCCTGGGCCACCTCACCAATTGGAGAACAGCTTTTGAAAGGGTCTGCATATGAAAAGAGACCTTATCATGGGCAAGTAGTTGAATTGCTGAAATATTACAGTAACATATAAAACTTAGAAAACTAAAGAACACTCAAATATCAATTTTAACTTGTACTGCAAAACTGTTATTTCTCTCAGATAGATGAGAAAAACCCAAATAATCTCTTTAGAACTCTTTTACCAAGTCTATTAAATGCTTATGGGTTTAATTTTACACCATGCACACTGTTATTACATGTGCTATTTACGTAACTCCTTCTTACCAGGACATTTCAAATTACTTGTGTGTCTTCAGAGATCAGGCTGAGACACTATCTCTGAAGCCTGTGTTTAGGTATTTGTATTTCAACTTTACTTGTTAAATTGATGCAGTAACACAGACAACTTTAAGCCTACTCAACAGACAGAATATATTCACAGAGTAAATGCAGTTTTAATTTACCTGTTATTAATTTAAAAACTATTCCCATGATACACAGACACCTAGTGGGCTATCTGGTTTTAATAAAAACTAGTTTTAATACTGTAGATTCATCTTTCTGGTCCTGCCATACCTGGCCCATAAAGCCTTCTCTCAAACAAAGAAGAGGTGGGGAGGCAGGAAAAGGGCAGAGGAAATGTGATTTCAGCTGATGAAGAAATCCCTATATTGCAGAAATTCACACAGACATCTGAATTCAGCAGTATGTTAAATATGCAGACCTG